TATAGAGTTCATGGTAGTTGTAGTGTAGTGTTGGGAACAATCGAGTGAAAATAATCGAGTAAATCGATTGTTAGTAAAATATGTTAATTTAGTAAATGGTAAAACTGGTAGCAACCCAAAAATAATCGAATTAATCGAATGATTTACTCGGTCTCGATTCTCGGAACCAACTGAAAAATTATTAATCACTAATTTTGGTAGTAGTATTGTTCTATGGTAGTAGCCAGTAGGTAATTACTCAAAATGTAATGAGTAATCTTATATAATAAAATAATAAATAAATAATAAATAATGAAATAAGTAGGTAATAACCATGATAATATAATAAACTACAGACTTGTGTATATACTAAATATATCTTAGTCCGTGTAATAAACTAGGTATGATGTACATTTTATGATACGCTACGCATACACGTTCTCTTTTCCGCCACCGGACACTATAATAGTATAATCAATCACTATTGTTCTATGGCTGTAACACACGGCTATAATTAATAGCAGCTGCTGCAGGCGCTGCAGAGTGCAGATATCCATGCGAATTTCAAATTTGCGCCATTATGATAAGTGATAACAACATTGAGGTTAGATTTTTAGTTTTTTACAACCATCAACCATCGGTCATTCTATAACGATTAACGGCTACTTGRCGCTTCCCTTGTCGGTTGTCCCTACTTTACCGTTTTTACCATCATTTTGGGTTCTACTACAGTTAGTACACCTATAGTCCCTACAGATTACAATTTCTATCTACTATTAAATATTAATTTAATYTTATATTACCTTATTATTAATATTCACAATGTAAATTTCAAAAGTTTACATTGACGAGATTTTCCTGTAAAATTCTTGTTTGATTTTTATTTGTATGTTGTAACATTTATATATTTATTTGTTTTTCGTTATGAGCTTTTAAACATTTTAAATACAACATCAKAAATCTATAGAATGTTTTCGACAAAATTATTGCCAATTATCCTACTTGGCATCTTATGTATTAATAATACTTATGGATCTAAACTCAACGTTCCCCGTGTGTTGCTACCTGTATTTGATACGTTCACTGTGAAATTTAATATAGAAGTTACAGATGATGGCTGTTACAAATGGTAAGTGATTAAAATTGGTCATGATTTGCATGTTGCAAGTTGACTTTATTTATGTTCATAATCTCTGTATTAACTATGAAATATTATATTACTTATGGAAGAGCTTATTATTTTACTATGGTTAAAATAAATTCATAGAATTCGAACAAAAGCTATAMGTATAGTCAGTAATTAAATTATTACTATTAACTATTTTACTCTTTATAGTGTTGTTTGTATATACTATATAGTACAATATGACATATGGCATAATTATTTATAATAACCGTTTTACATTCATAATCAACATAATATATCTTCTATTGATGTCCAATTAACAAATCCAAAAATATTAGTCAAACATATACCACCTATCCAATTCTGTCACTGGGTAAAAACTGGAGAAAAAAATAATTTATCAACCAAAATAAATACTGAACTCTCTCCCAAGTTTAAACATATTAAATTTAAACATTTCCTTTATACCTACTCAATTGTTTGTTTTTGCACAATACAATACAATACATTGTATGGTGCTTAGAAACAAATTGTAGGTACTATTAATATCAATGATTTTCTAGGTCAATATTCAGAGGTGCCAATATTATCAAACTCGTTCCCTTAGACGTGAATCCAACGCTTGGATGTTCGAGCAAAGTTTCTGTATCATCACTATCGAATGAGAAAGTGCGCAGAGTAGCAATTATATTTGCAGAAGATGCTAATTCTGGTGAAACAATACGTTGTGATGTTATTGTTGATACTATAAAGTCTTTACAGATAGTTACAAAGACAAGAGAGCTATTTGTTGGAGATGCGCCAGAACTTTTTGAAGTATCTGCGTTTGATGATCAAGGTACTTGCTTGTTATCTTAGATCATTATAAATTGCAGTGCTTAAAATACAGGGTGTCCTGATAGGACTTAAACATTGCAATATCTGATAAAATAATGGAGACATCAAAATTATATTTATATAATAACACTCACAGGAATAAGAACTACAGTTATTCCATATTTTAATGTTTTGGTAAAAAATTTTAAATATATATTTTTTCATCTAATTATTTCCATAAAATTAAAAATAGTCTTGTAGAGTTTATTTTTCTGAWAATATTGAYGTTTCAAAATTTTATTTTCATTAATTTCCTGATTTTTAATATTTTTCTAGTTTTGAAGAAATAGGATATGATTATAACTAGACACACTGAAAGCGTTYGCCTAGCTGTACGAGTACGCGCATGATATGGTGGATGAAATGTTTGATAACATTACGATGTTAAAAAATTCTCAAAACTAAAAAAAAAATTAAAAATTAGGAAATTAATGAAAATAAAATGTTGAAACGTCAATATTTTCAGAAAAATAAACTCTACAAAACGGCTAGTCAAATTTTTGGATATGATTAAATAAAAAAAAAAATTTTTTAACTTTTTTATCAAAACATTTAAATAAACTAAAATATGAAATAACTGTAGTTCTTTTCCCTGTGAGTCTTATTACAAAACCAGAATTTTGATATCTCAATTATTTCGGGAGATATTGCAAAGTTGTAAATCCTCGCGGAACACTCTGTTTAATGTTATTTGTACTCATGATTATACTATTGGTATAAAGTAAAAAATGAATTAGGTATTAACCATTTTCTAGGATATTTATCATAAATTGTGATAATTTATAATTGCCGATAATTCAAATAATTGTATAAATCGCAATAAAAAAGTCCAAAGCATAAAAGGATTGCAGTAGATAAGTCCTAAGCCTAAAATTTCTGGGGTATAAAAGTCTGGTATATATAACAATAATTAAAATGATTTATTTAAAAAAAATTAATAATTATTAATACTAAATCGTTACCTATATCTAAAAAAAAATCGAAATCATTACTCACACAAAAACAACACAATACCTATATTAAAATTTATGTTGGCTGGTAAATCATTTACAGTCATAGTTCTAATTTATATTTATACTGATAAGAACGTTTAAATGTGCATCACATCAAATTTTTCTTTTTACYTAATTATATATATATATCAAACTTTCACCACAGACTTTTGATATTCTACCTAACTCTACCTATTCATTGTACTTATTAAAATAATTTCTTCAATATTCATGGTACGATGTACGACTAAAATGTATTGAAGTAAAAAACTTTATCAATTTTATTTTTACTTTATTTTAGGAAATAAATTTACAACATTGGACGGTGTAGAATTTAATTGGTCCTTAAAAGTGCTWAGAAGTCCTATAAACGAAGTTTTAAAATTCATATCATTCAAAGATTCTTCTTATAGAACTCCACCAGATCTTTATGATTTGGATCAGAAAAATAGGCAAGGTCATATGGTTCTTGTCGAAGGAGTTAAAACTGGATCA